GTTAAATATCTTTCTATGCAATACATAGTAATAATGGTAACTTTGATAATAGTTGATCAAACGTGTTTACTCGTCCTTTCTGCTTTTCTCGAGCATAACGTGGATTTGAAGCAGAGTTGAAGTAATTCAATTCAGAATGCGTATAGTATACGACTTTCGGAGAACTAGAATGATTTGCTTACTTTATCACTTTAATGATAATGTTTGATCTCAAAGCAATTAATTTGAGAAGATCGTTGCAATGCTCGCTATAACTACAAAGGGCCTCGAGTGGGAGCCCGTTAGCTTTTCTTACATTCCACTGGCCTAATTAAATTAATTAGTTGTTGCAAATCCATTCGAGCCTGTAAGCACCGGCACGAGGGTAGGATCGATACGCGTCGAGTTGCGTATACGAATAATGAGATAATATTTGCCGTAGAGCTCGATCTAATCAAAATTGGTACGCTGTTTATTCCGAGCTCGGTAGAAGACTACAAAGACGTTTTACTTAATGTGATTAAAGAACCACCGTTTCTTTCCTGCCCTTGAGAACTCTCGGCGTTCATCTTAATAACACCCGAGGGGGTAGGTAATTCATTATCTTCTCTCCAACGCGAGTGGCGGTGCTCCTCTTCGTTTTTCCAGATGATGCTTCTCGAAAATCATCCTAATTATTTCTGTGGGTTATTAATCATACGTTCGACTGCAGCCCGTCGTCCATCAGAGTTGCACGATATTCTATAAATATTTATTATTCGAGGATGGAAAATATTTTATTTATTAAATCCGGATTATGACATCACAAATTGAAATTTCGAAGTAGAAATAACTTTTAAAAGTATTTTCAAATAATATCCGAGGTATTTACCAGTTTTCACGTATGCCAGTCTATTCATACAACTTGTGAAAAGCACTGTTACTAATGTTTCTATATTTCGTTCACAGTTGAAAGCCGAAGGATTTGTCAATAGAGAGATGTAAATCTTCTTTTTACCATCCGTTTGGTCCGCGATGTTGTTCTCGCGTTTCGTTCTGTACACACGCAGGTCCGCGTTATTAAAGCCGATTGAAGGCGCAGCTTTGAATTTGTACGTGGAATATTCCATGCAAAATCGCGACGGCACTCGACTTCGCGTCGCGTCGTGTCCTCGTTCGCTTTGAATTTATTATAACTTCTGCTCGAGCAAGGATGCCCGTTCCGAATGACGCGAGGACGGGCCGAGGCTTGTTCGAACAAGGAAGCCTAACGTAAGTGGGACATCGTCTCGCGCGATCTGATTTTTATCGACCGGCCATCGGTCTCCATTGTCTTCCCCCTGGAATCGTTACGATAATGCGATTCGCCCTTTAATTACGTGAACCGCGGCCAAATAATTTAACGGATAATGGATGTTATCAACGTACGCGAAATCGGGTAATTGACGTTGCCAATTGTCCTCCGCTAATCTATGCTAATCATTATTAATCGTTACCGCGAATGTTTCCGCATGAATCGCATTCAAAGATTTCGCAAATCCAATTACCTATTTAACCGGTACGTCCTGTTTCGAGTACCTGTTTGTATGTTTGAAACATACAAATTCGAATAAAGAGTATTCTTTGCGCATAACGGATTCGTTTGGTTCCGATCCGAATCGTATTCTTAGCAACGAATGCTTGAACCACGCTTTAATTTGTTCTTAAGCGGAATTGCTTGAAAAATTTACCGCGAATTTTACAGCCGCGTTTCTTTTCTCGGAACGAGGGAAATAAATCTTGTACCGAGAAACGCTTGGAATAATTTGAGTATTTAAATAACGCTTGTTCTTTGCTCCTCCGGCTCTAACGTCGCTGTTTACATGATGATGGTACGCGAACTATTTTCCGGAATTTATGGTACCGGAAACTAGTGTTTGCTCGCTGGGGCAAAGCACTCGAGACATTCGACGTCCTGTAGCGTGCGCCGCCGCCGCGTCCCCGTGAGATTTTCAGTCTCGAAATTGCTCCTGCAAACTTTTAATTCCTTCGCGTCGGCAAAACATATCGCGTCAAAGTGGCGCGAGGATAAAAGAATTTAAATTAACGCCGTAACAGCTATTCCACACGCGAGGCTCCTGCCATTACGACGTGGTGTAGGTATCGCGAGATTTTCATAAAAATTGGAAAACGTGACCATAAGACAACGAATATAACGTAGAAATTTGAATTCTTTTGAGATTCTTGTAGCTATCGTTCACTTCAGCATTCTCCAAAATTTTATTGTAATTAGTATGAGCGCAGCAAAGCTTAGTTTCAGACGTGGGCGGCTTATAAATAAAGATTGTGCTTAAAATCTAGAAACTGATTTGCTAACTTGTAACGACGAGGCAACATTCTTTCAATCGTCCTGACGTATATCTCATCGGTCGGTGGATGCTGTGTGTAGAAGAATTCAGCTGGCCGGACGAGGGATCTTATAGATTCGTTCGCCGTGAAATCGCGAATAAAATTGGTGCTCAAGATCCTGCGGCCCGGAGGGATCTTAGCATTGTAGACCCCCTAATTCAGAGTGAAGTAAAGAGTCTTGAAACTTGGAATATCTCTGCGAGATGTAATTTATGATTGAAATTTCGAAGTGGGCCAGTTCTGCCTCTTTTTTTATGGATGCCCTCGTACAGCTTTGATGAGCTTAATTCGCTGAAGCACGTGGAATGCAAAGATTCGCGATGAACTACTGCCTTATTTCCTGTTTTTTATACTTGAACATACTATTTCATATTTATGATGAAGTATCACCTGGTTTCTTGCTTTTTGTACTCAAGAATACTAATTTGCAGTTACGTATCAACATGATCACGTAAATTGAAACAGAAAAAAATTGAAAAACAGTGACTATCAAATTTTGCCATGTGGCAGTGAATCGACGAGCTTGCTCGCGGCAAGAATCAGGACGAGGCCGAAGTTATGCGAAACGATTAAACCGACACGAGAACCGGTATATGGTTTCATTGTTCACCGTCAGAATATACGTAGACGTGTGTGGCCCCGGTACACCGCATAAGGGAATTGCTCTCTAGTTACATATGCGCGGCGCATCCGAAGTTTGGCCAAGCGCTGTCATTATCGCCGCGATTATGCATATTCAGATAAGCAATCAACACTATTGAGGTACCCGGCCAAGGGTCATAGAGTGGAACACAGCGATTCCAACCATGAAAATACACGCAGCCCGTGTCGGGTGTGTGCGTGGCTTTTCAGCAAATAAATGACACACCAGAAAGCTTAGCCCACCTCTAACCGTGATTAATGCGCGAAATTTGCAGATCAATCGGCCTGGCTGAACAACAGGAGTACTTATTTCGGGCCATGTCAGACGTCGCCTAAAGAATTGACTTTGGACGAGAGTAAAGAAGTGGTAAAAATACATAATATGCGTGCAAAGTTTCGTGCAACGTGTCCGAGATGACTCATCGGTTTTAGTTATCTTTTTTGTGAAGAACATGGAATGGCAACGTCACAGGGTATTGTGTTATTACAGGGTAGCTTCGTAATGGCGGCTTTTTCTCGGTTGTGCGAGCTCCCTAATGCACCGTCAATATTTTATCAATCTCAATCAATATTCTCACGGATTTCTATTCGGCGATACCGAACGCCCCGTGTGGGTACACATCTCCCTTCTACTCGATGTGTGCTAATATTTACTGATGATTGAGTCGGACAATTATATGTGTTGTATTCGATACGCGATCTTCAGAAGAAACGTCCATCCAGAATCCTCCGTGGGGATTCCCATAAAATCGTTTGCGAAACTCTGACGACACAAACAAGTATTTTGCTCGACACTTTTTTAAGCTAGAGCTAAATTTAGAGCTTGCGCTGTAGAATAAAACTTCGACCGGACACGTTGAGCCAATAATCGCAGTAGCGCGATTAGGAGGATCAGTCAAACACGGCATTAATTTATTATAAACAACCTGTCCAGCGTTGGCGACATACGAATGTCATTGTATTTCAATCTGGACCGCGGATAATGATTATTCTACACCCGGTCGTTGCATAAATCTGCATCGCGTTTGCTCGTCGTAAACAGTCGATCCCAAGATCGAGCATAAATATGTTAATAAGTGACGTCAAGTCTTGTGTCCTCTATTTTTTAACGTTTATTAGCACGTAAGCCAGCGTGATCAATTTATGCGATACCCGGAACACCTGCATATTCGTTTTTCCTCCGGTTGAGAATAAAAATGACTTCTAAAAATAATGCGTCATCGATCGCGGATTCGCAGACGTAATCATAACGCAATTTGTGACGTGAAATGTTAACGACCTCTTTGCTAAGAGACGGTATAAAGTTGGAATGAAATTAGTGATTCAAGTTTTAGAACGTCTCGCGAGTCGAGCTGGGGTTTAAGCCGCGAAAAATTCGGGGAGAGATTTTAATATCCGAGAATGATAAGCAGAATCGGCGACGATAGCCACGAAAACTTTCTAATAGCCTAACGAAGACGGTGGCTGCCATCTCGAGGCGCGGATCGCGTAATATTTGTGGAAAAGTTTTCGAAGCCGCGGGACACCGCCGGGATCCGGGACGATATTAGTTAAACCGGAATTCTTATCTGTAACTCGGTTAGAATTCTTTTGGTAAATTGCATTACCGCGAAGTGTCCCGAGTCTCCCCGGACGAAACAGTCCTTGCCGTCCTCAAGAGGACGAACTGGTTCGGTTCTTGTTTACGATTCGTCGCGAAAAAATTCATGATCCCATCCGTGGAAGCGAATGAAAAAGGACTCTGGATAGCATTCAAATTCACGGACGCCGCAAAGTTTCGGATGCCGTTTTAAATTATGACAGAGCAATTCCGAGTCCGTTTAATCTTTACCCCCTCTACATAATTGCGTTAATCCCTCGCTGTGGAACTGAACCCGGCTAGTTCAGTTTAAACTGCATAAAAAGTGTTATACTACGAAGCCTCGCCCGATTTAAATACATTAATATAAATGTGTTGTCGGTCATTGGAACGTGTAAACATAAGCGCGGAGCAAACGACGCCTATGTCGTTAAATCCATGCGCATAAATGATATCATGATGTCGAATGAATGAGCGAAAGAATCGATA